CTGGACTGGGTGCATCTAGACACCCGAGGCACAGGCATGCTGGCCAAACATGGCGTGCCGCCCTATCTGCTGCGGGATCGCATGACAGGACGCCCCACTCGTACGATCATCCAGTTCATGCACCAGCTGGCTTGCAAATAATTTTGGACGAAAATATCACGACAGATATGAACCTTTCGCTGATATGTGTTCCAAATTGTTTCCAGTATGACCCTGACAGCATGAAGAAGAGTTGTGGGCTGATAATTTAAACGTATTTGTGCCAGACGATGTCCCATTGCGCTCCTATTTATGTACCGTGTTGTGAGTGTCCACATTAATCGTAACGTACTGACACCAAATGTCTTCAGTGAGAAGTTTTAACCGATGTCTACAATATTGTCTACAAATTATAGAAATGTAAACAAAAAAATATATATACATACATAAAGGTTTTTTGTATATTTTTTAATACAACGAAATATTTAAAGACAACTAGCATCCCCACCAATTAACCAAACGAATAGCTATTTTATAAGGACAGATCCTCTTCCAAACGGCAATTCATTTTACAAAGAATGTTACATTGTGGTTATGTCGTGCGTTCTGCCTTTACGATTTGTGCTTATTATGAATATATGAATCCCTAGTGAAAAGGGATCATAGCTCTCGGTGAATGTGTAGGACCCATCTTCAATCCTAACTAGATATTCCAACCACCGACTGGCTAATTGTCGAACCCATCGTAGTTCTATGCGTGCTGCCTACAAAAATAATGTGTTTACCCTAGTCCGTGTGAGGGGGATCTGGGTATATCGCCCTAGTTGAGACGACAGCCGCAAGTCACTTTGACTTGCACTCGTTTGACATGTTTTATTTATGCGTACGAGCTGTGCATAAGTAATGAGCCCACAGGGACAAGAAGGGATCGGACTCTTTCTCCGGGCATAGCCGCAAGTCGTGCGCATGAAAATTAACCACAAATGCGCCTAAAAGCATACAGCTGTGTCCTGTGGCCGGGGTCTCCTCTAGCGTCTCGGTGTCCTTGGAATGCCAAATTGTTCTGGCTGGTTTCTGTTTCTTGTCCTGGTGTCCGATGTAGATTTTAAATGAATTGTGCCAACGTGTTTTCATTACGTTTGCGTTTGCGTTTACGTAACTGTGAATAGATTTCATTTCGTTTCATTTTGTTGCGAAACCTGCGCGTTTTTTATTGCCAACGTCTGCGCTTTGGCGGCAAGGGCGGACTATAGGTGGGGTGTGGGGCACGCGCGGCTTGTTTGTTGCTTAATTGGAAGGAAATTAAAAAATAAACAAGCAACGTTAAAAGTAAATACTACACGTTTGCGATTACCTGAGACTGGACCCAGGACCTCCAGCCAACCACTCACTACACGCGCGTGGGAAGGCCGGAGGGCTGTTTGGAATTTAATTTTCATTTCTCTGGCCCTGCGTTAATTTCATCTTCGTCTTTGGGGGTTCGTTTTATATATATATATATATATATATATATATATATATATATATATATATTATTTTATGGGCAGCATTCTGGCCCTTAACTGTGCAAATAGATTTCAGTTCTTGTTGTTTGTTTGTTTTGGACTACTGGCTTGGTTTTGCAGTTAAAAACTTTCAATTGTTGTTGCACAATATTTGCCCTGAATTAATTAAAAGTCATTGACGCTCATCAATCGGCAGCTGCTGATTGGAATTGGGCGGCTAATTGAAGTGCTCCACTCAATACTAACACTCCAACGCTTGATATCAGCTCAATAACTTCTAGTGTGTTTCAGTCGCCTACGATCTGCCATTCCCCGCTCATCCACCTGCCCCCACTTGTCATTCAAGGCGTCGTTGGGCTGTGTAAATACAATGTTCTATGCAAATTTGCAATGGTCACATGGAAACTGTCAGAGGATATCATTGATTCTATATAGCTCCGATTCCGGGACGTGATGCCAACGGTTGGCTTGCTTCAGTTGCACCAGAAATAATCGTACTAACTGGCTTTGACTGCTGCTGCTGCCGCTGCTGCTGCTGCTGCGGCATAACTAATAAGACACTTATTATGCTACGGGGGTCTGGTAACGTTATACCAGTTTAACGATATCACGTACATACGTTAACTAACGCTAACTACGTCGTTAAGTGTGTTGCGGCTGACTTTGCCTTTGCCTCTGTCTCTGCTTCTGTCGCATGCGAGCGGCGCCCGAGCAGGGACACACGCCAACGCAGCTGCCTGGACTAATCAAGCTGCCACTGCCACATCCACAGCCAGTGTTACTGCTACTGCCACTGCCACTGCCAGTGCTACTGCTACTGGCGCTGTCACTGCTACTGAAACTGGCACCATGCTGCGCGGACAACGTGTAAGCAATGGGCCGCCAGTGGCGCCTGTCGAGCTACTCAGCTGAAATTTACATTTTCCTGGCAGCCAGCAAATACAACAGAAACTATTACTACAAGAGAGCGTGCCCAACTAGCAGATACCTGTACACTTGGCTTCAATATATCCCCACATACAATGCATTCAGCTCTTCTCCCTGCTCCAAGCTTAATGAACCCAACTCTTTTGTGTTTATTGTGCGATCGCTTTTAAGATTTATTAAAAAGGGTATAAAAAAAAATTATTATATATATGAGCAGGTGGTTCAGCTTATAGTTTAAACCAACTGCGTGCCTTAAGGTTCTCATTGTGAATCTGATTTTCTTGGTTTTTCATTTATATTCAACATTTTTATTATAACTTTATAACTGCCCTTTCTACTGAAAATATTGTAAGCCAAAAATATTTTCACACAGAGTTTACGGGCTACATTTATTCTCAACCCAAACTTGGCATCTAACATATATGGCTAGATAAATCCAATGATTGGGGCACAAGATATTTATGCTTTGGAGCTGGTGTCCGAATTTTTTAAAATTCGATTCGTCTGTTTATTGAGCAACTGGCTTTATTTAAGTTTTGGTTAAATTTTAAAGTCTAGTTTCGGAGATTGATACGAACTATAAAGAAGGGCAGATAATAGAGAGAGAGGAGATAATCATGTTTATATTTATGATACAAATATATGGTACAAATATATATATATATATATATATATATTTGTTCAAGCACTCTTCCATTGCCTGTGGCATGCATTGGCAAAGTACTATGATACCCACTTTAAGCATTTGTAATGGGTAGAAGGTCTAACAAGGGTAAAGCCTCAGGTTGGCCTTATAGGCTATATAGCTTTGTTGTTTTAATAACCACGATCACGTCGCATTAAAAGCACACACAAAGCACAAAGCACACACGTTGAGGCCGTGAGGCTTAGTTAAATGCTGCTAATTAGGCTTTTCTGCACATAACTTGGGCGCAGAAGTGGGCTATTAAAAACTGGCTCAAATATTTGCGCAGCCATAAAAACGTTAATCAGGCAAACCCACATAGAGAACGGAGAGCACTAAACAACAAACCTGGCACGCAACTAGCTAGCCAAATTATGCGAGCAATGCCAACAACTTGCCACAAATGAGCCACTGTACTACACGTGTAGTTGCCTCAGGTAAGAGCTAATAAGAGCAGCTAGTACATGCTAGATGGTATGTAGATTATATGCTTAGTTACAATAGAATTTCTGAAATGTCAGCGCTTTTAATTATGCCCGGACAGCTGCCAAGCAAGGAAATGCCACAACAATTTGCCAGCATTTGCCAAAAAGAAATCTATTTCAATTGGAAATTGCGAAAGACAGGCGACTGGCGACTTGCAGCTTGCAGCATGCAGCTTGCAACATGCCGCCTGTCTGCGATATATAGAAAACAATAAACATAATGGCCATATTTTATATTTCCAACAAGAAACAGCGGGCAATTGTCAACCAAAGTGCACATAAAGCCATAAAACCAGAAGCCAACTCTGGGCAAATATTTTTGGCTTGCGCCACAGGACTGACTGCCAGTCAGAATTGAATTTGAACTTGAAGATGGGAGCTCCAGTTCGAGTTCGAGTTGGAGTCAAAGTCGAAGACGAAGTCGGAGTCGATGTCTGCTGAGTATGCCTGCCAAATGGCTGGGGCCCATTGAATATTGGCTGGCATTACGTTAACGATATGCTTTAAACAATTTGGGCACTCGGCTGCCTCATGAATAATCCCTTTCAGCCTAATCGCAAAACAGCCTTTCTTGCGCCTTGCAAAGATATGCAAATGTAGCGAAACGAGAATTGTCCCAAAAGTCAAATTAACTGTGCGTGCGGACTACTCTCTCTTCACCTGGATGGCTTACAAAATGCTTTTGTCACCTATGAAATCGATTAGGGGCCAAATGGAAATGTTGCCGGTGCGCTTTTATCATTCAAGAAATTGCCAAATTGAATTTTATTACGCATCTTAAAAGCTGAAAAGTTTTCACAAATAAATATACAAATAGAAATAAAACAAAGCCGGATTTTGGCGCAACATTGTTGAAGCGAGCCATCGTTCCAGTGGCCTGAATGGGTTGCCAGCTTAAAGCTTATAACAAACTATCAAAGTTGAATTAAAAGCAAACACCCAAACACACACAAACACACACTGACACACGCACACAGAGGTGTTGGTCGTGTGCTTTGTATAATTATGCAAATGCGTTTGATTGTGAAAATTGTGCGCTAGCGCCAACGCCAACAAGTAGGCAACACTTTCAAATGCGCCACTTTGAATGCCGAAAAACAACACATTTGCATAATTATGCAATCTACCGGGCCACACACACACCCCCTTACACACACACACACACATTGTTGCCGCAATTCGCTGGGCAAAGTGAAATTTTTGGCTAATTCACCGCAAAGTTTCGGCCACTCGAGCAAAAGTTCCGATATTTCGCTTAGCATTTTGCACCAGAATTTATTGCACAGGGCTTGAGCTTGCTCTCAAATTTGCATATGTAGCACAACACACACACACACACACACACACACACACACACACACACACACACACACACACACACACACAGCACAACAGACACCCACAATTCGCATTTCAACTCAACAGCAAATTTAATGAAAACGGTTCGAACATAAAGTTGAACTACATTTAAATAACAACGCCCGGCTGCTGACAAAAACTCAATTGTTCCCCTTGAGATCGGCAAGGAGCTTCACAATCTCCTTCTTCATGGTGATGGCACGATGAGCCAATAGCTTGGCCAGCAGGGCGTGCTTCTCAATCAGGGCAATGGCTGTAGGATCAACGAGTCCGGCATCCTTTGCCGCTGACAAGGCCTTGTATGCCTGGGCCAAGGCCAGAGTCACCTTCTGCTCGGCATTTTCGTAGGCGGCGACTATTCCGTCACCCTTCTCCTGCCTTGCCATTTCGATGATCTTTTTGGCCTCGGACAGCAACGAGGCAGCACTGGTTGCCATGTCGAAAACGAGCTTGGCCACATCTTCTGGATTCATTTTATTTGGTTTATCTTGGCCCGATTCTGGTAGATCGTTCTTGAAACTGGTTATAACAGGTTGAACATCCGACAGGCAAATCGTTGTGGACGTCACACCCTGGACGGGCTCATTCGTGTCTTGATTGGCCTGCATATTGTCCATATCTTCCTCCGATTTCATCTGCACTGCTGAACTGGTCCCTTGAGGAATATTCTCCTCCGTTTTTTCTGCTTTCGGCTCATTTACGATTTGGGGAGCTTGAACATTAAGGTTAACTGGATTAATCGGGTCAGCTGTTACCAGTTGCAGCGCTTGCCTGGGATCTACAGAGTCTTTTAGATGTTCTGAAATGGTTGGCGGCTTTTCAGTTCCCTTTTTGGGCAACTGATCGGCCTCTGCTACCTTGCGATTCGGCAATATATTTCCGATTGTCTGTGCATCAAAAGGCAGCTGGTTAACGGGTAACAAACTTTTCGTATCCGTGCTGCTGTATGTGATGTCCAGTTTGTTGAAGTCGGTTGGCTCACAGGATTCGGGTTTTTCTGTTGATTTCTTCTCTGTGATCTTGCGCCAATGAACGCAAGGATCTTCCTCTTGCTGCTCACATTCACCCAAATCTTTCTTAATGTCTTCAATGCATAACGACTTTTTCTCTTCCTCCGGACAGCTTTTCTTAGCTAGTTGGCACTCTTCCTCCTCCGCATCCTCATGTTCTGACTTACAAACTTTTCCCCCTTTATCACCTCGCTTAGAAGGCTTATCCTCATCTCGTTCCGGATCCGCCTCGATATCCAAATCGACATGTTGCGGCTTTACATCAGCTCTTGCTGTATCCTCTCCTCGGATTATTGTCTTGTTGCATATGTTGGATGCGGTCTCCCTCAGTTGAATATCGTCATCATCGACAGGTGTCGGTTTTCCCGCCGTACTGGATGCCAATTTAGCGGCGTTCTTTTGATCAGATTCCTTTGCAGGCTCCTTTCTTTTCTCTTCGATTTTCTGCCAGAGACTCTTACACATGGTAACAGCCTTTGCGGCCAATTCTTTGGCAAAATCGATAGTCTTTGTTGCAAATTGTGCGGCAGCCTCCACCGCCTGGCTTTCAGTGTTTTGCTGAACTTTGACGTTTCCATCGGCAAGTTTTTCTTTTTTTTCTGGTTTGCATGGATCCTTCGATTTATCCGTTGTATCCTTCGTTTTATCCTTTGTATCCTTTGCGGCGTCCTTTTTTGCTTCAGCTGGAGCTTGGGGCTTATCACCAGCTGCGGGTGCAGATCCGGCTGGCGGTGTTTTTGGCGGCGGTGTTTTTTTAGGATCTGATTTATCATCTTTTGACGTAGGCTTGCCTGATCCATCAGGCTCCTTTGGTGCATCTTCATGCGCCACCTCTTCCGATGGCCCGGGCTTCTGTTCTTCGGGTGTATGTGGCCAAAAGGTGGGTCTGTTTATAAAGTCGGGTGCCTCTTGTGGATGTGCTAGACAAAACTCCTCCATGGTCATTTCCGTGTAGGGCTTCATGCATTTCAAGTGCTCCATCTTTTCCTCCAGCACCTCGATGCGCTTGTTCGATTCCGCCTTGAACTTTTTGACTTCCTTCCTGACCTCCTCAGCTTGCTCAGTCACCTCTCCAAAGTACTTGGAATGATCAAACAGGGAATGGCGGTTAGTAAAAATGCTATCCAGCTTGTCGTATTTCTTCTCGAAATCCAACACCCAACTGACCATATCTTGCCGCACATTCTGCTTATAGTACGCCCAATCGATTGCCGGCAAATCAGGTGGATATTTTCGAAGGCGCCTTTGGAAGGTGATGAAGTTTAGCTAAGAATCTTATAGCAAGCTTGGAAGTCCAGACAGACACAACAGATACCTAATGTTCCCAATATTGTGAACATCTAATAATAACACTTACTCTTTGTATTCTTCATTCTTCTTGGCAAACGCCTTGAACTGTTTGCGCTGATTGGGCGGCACCCGCTTATATAGATCGACTAGCTCGACTGCATTGCAGCCTTTGGCCTTGCCGCCTTTATTGAAGCACTTTATGAACTGTTCCCACATTCTTGTGTTTGAAACGGTGTCGTAAAAAATATAAATATATAATTATTTATTTAAATTATAAATAATGCGCGTGTATTTTTGAATGTGAATACGTATTGCTTGTGAGTGTGTGAGTATGAGTATGTCTACAACTATAAGTCAGCTGAATCAAGGGTAAGCTGACCTATCGTAACATACATTCAGCAGGACTATTAAACGTACAATTTTGAGTACTTCCGACTCAATGGGCCGGGCAATAAAAGCTGGCATTTACGAGCTAAAGCTGCTGCTAAAAATTGCATATTCATGCATTTCCAATTAAATAAAAGTCAGGTGCGCAACGGCAACGTTCAACTAAGCAGTTGACAAACTGACAATAAAATCGAAAATTAATTCCATGTCACAGGCAACGCAGCTGCAGCCCCGACTCCAGACATCCGACGCACCAAAACTTAAATGTAATTGCATAAGCAGTATGCATCAACGGGGGCGGGGTTGTCTATTGGGCGCGGGAGGCTGGTAATCGAACGAAATGAAAGTCACAGCAGCCCAGACACCCTGCAGGCAAAATGTGTGCACTGGCAGTGCGCCTCATCAGCCTCTGCCCAGACAAGGCGACAACCAGCCACGCCACCATCATCACAGGAAATGCCATACGGTCGTCTGAAATGCTCCAAAGTGACAATCGCAATTTATAACGCAACGAAAATGGGCTAATGCCAATTCTCCAGGTAATTGTCGGTATCGAAGCGGCTGGGCAGGGTGTGAGCAGCAGGAGCAGCAGGAGCAACCCTTGACAGCCCTTGACTGCGTCCTTACTGTGAAACGAACTAGAATGAAACCAAATGCGAGAGCAGCGCCTGCGCTCTGAGGAGATACACAAACCCTCAGGTCAGCTGTCACTTTGACAGTTGCCAAATACCCGCTGCCCACCCCCGACAGCATGTCCTCTTCCAGGATATTTTGCTTGAAACAGCTGCGCTGTGCTCTCGCACGCTCTCACTCTCTCCCGCTCGCAGTAGGAAACGCTGCGAATCGGAACAGAACACAAGATGAGAGCGCATTTGACTTCTCTGTCTGTCATCGAAATTAGTGCGGTTGTGAATTTTTCGTGCATATTGTTTTTAGGCTAAAAATTTATTACAAATCTTAAGAATTTGCATAAAGTTGAACATTTTGTTGCTGCCCTCGGTGTGAACAATGAAAAAGACCAACTAAAAGTGCTCAAAGTGCCCGAATTGGTGCCCATTCAACGGGGCCCAGCACCCGGAGAGACGCTCAACGCGCTCAACGCGTCTCTTTGTGGATTTTCTATTTGTGTATCATACAATATTGTGTTTACATTTTTTCCTGCACTGCCAAAACATGACTAAAAATGCGCTTTTCCAGTCTTTAATCAAATAATTTAAAGAATATTAAGCCAGAACTAATTTTGAGTAAGTCGCAAATTGTCATTAGGCGAATTTCTGTTTAAATCGCAGCAAATCCTGCCCAAATATTGCCTGTATGCGTGTGTTTGTGTGTGTGTGCACATTCGCATGTGTATTATGTATATCTGTGTTTGCGTGCTTGTTTGTGTGTGTGTGTGTGTGTTGGTATAAATAACATTCTTGTGAACAGCGTTCAAAATGTACTTGGGAGCATACCAAATATATATGAAATTTAGCTATATAAATTTGACATATTTCAAATGGAAAATAAATTAAATACATTCTAAATTAATACATTAAAATAATATATTTGAATTGTTTATTAAACTAGTATATATTTTTCCTCGGCATTTTCTTCCTGAACAATTTTCTAAAATTATTTAGTTTTCAGGCATTGTAAAAGGAATACCTTAAACGAAACTTGATGATTGGTTCCAAATAAACGAATTCTAAGAAATTATGATAAGCATAAGTTTCTTATATACTTTATAGACATTTTAAATATAAAGCGTTAATTAGTCAGTTACTTTACTAAAAACACAGACACGACTTTTGTGGAATTTCACAGAAATTAAATACCTAATTTCTTCTGCGTATCAGAAATTCCAAATACTTTATATCCTACTACTATATAATTGGCATTACCAGCTCACTCTACTTCTTTCCTTGCTTGACGTTTGCAATTCCCAACAAGTTAAAGCCTCGAAAAAAAGAAAACGAGGCGCAAGCAAAGTCTGCTGATAATCTAAGTTGTAGGTTCTTAAAAAAGCTACACAGACCAGCTGCTACTCTTCTTGTGTTTATTTATTTATAAAAAAGCACCGAAAATTAATTCAAGTTAGCCAGCTTAATATTAGTATTTACTGGTCTTATTTATTTTAGAGCCAAGATTCCCTTGATCTCAGTAATTTTTGGTAGACTTTTCCAGCCCCAAATCGAGCCATATAAAAGTATAAAATTTACGCAGAAACTTAATGAAACGCATTAAAATTCCGGCAGCCTAAATGAAATGAAATTGTACAAATAAACTAATTGCCTTGAAGGATACTTTACAACTTTGGTCAGCGGCAGCAGCAGCAAAAACAACAACAACAACTGCCACTAAAACGTCAGCAGCTGCTGCTGCTGCTGTTTTTGTTGTTGTTGTTGTGCATTTTGTTGTTGTTTTTTTGTTATTTTGTAATTTTGTTGCCCGGGAGCGAGCGTTGCGGAATAAACACAATTTGCGGCAAGCGGATAATGTGCAAAAATAAATTTCCACAGCGGCTGATGGCTTAGAATTTTAATGTAATTTATTTTGTGGAAACAAACAGCAGCACAGCACAGCAGCAGCGGCAAATAAAGTATGACCAACATAAAAATTTATGCGCAGAAATTGAAAATACGCCAACACTCGAACCCAAAAGTCTCTCTCTGCATAGGCAACGTACTCCTAGATATACCTACATATATATATTCGAGAGTTGGGGATCGCTTCGTTAAGCCTTTCACGCTCGTCCAAAAACTTTAAAGTGCGCAATTTAAATGAAAATTTAGCTTGAGACCCTCAAGCGTATCATGCAACGCCAGCAGACTAACCAAGTAGTTACACACACACACACACACACACACACACACACACACACACACACACACACACACACACACACACACACATAACAAGGTTGCCGCCAACTATTTATGAGGCACGCTTGACGGGGCACGGGGCACGGGGCAGAGCCTCGCCTAGCAGCCAAGTGATTTTATGCTAATATTATGGGTCATTGGGATTTGCGCACAGCAAAGTGCTTGTTAAACATTTCATTAGACTTAGTGTAAATACCCGCGGTTAACAGGCGCTCGTAAAACCTTCACACACACACACACACACACACACGTACACACATGTGGTTTTGGAGCCACACAAAAGACCGTTTAGCATTCGATATTAGCGAAAGTTTCGAGCTGCTTACGAGTAGTTTGTGAAATTGAAAGTGGCTTCGATGTGCGGCCCTCTATGATAGCATATGGCGCTATGGTGTCGCTGCCCCTGCCCCTGACCCCTCCCGCCAGCAGCCCTGCCTTTGAAATTCAATCAATATACGCAAGTCAACTCTACATACTTGCAGCGTCTATGTAATTACCCAGCATATGCTGTCTAGGGCGAGCAAAATGAAAATTTGAAAATAAATTTATCAAAAATGCTCGGGCCTGACCCGTCGCAACGAGATGGTAATGCCAAGGCTGGCCCCAAATTCGTTGCTTCAGCTAACATATATGCGATACACAGCGCCTGTCGCAGGATAATGCCAAATCATGTCAGTCGCACATGTGGCCACATTACGTTTATTAAAATCGTGCCCTGCTGACGCTGACACAGTCCAAAATGCATTTTTGATCAACTGCCGCGTCATTGAAAAGCTGAAAAACTGAAAACCGTAGCTGAAAATGGAAATGGAAACTGAAAATTCGTTAACACCCACCCGGCTTGAAAGTCTTTCAACTTGTAGATGCATAGATACGCAGTCCAGATATTAGAGTGCGTTGACAAATGATTTGAGTTTCTCGAATTCGGATTTCGAGAACGCGCATGAATAATGCCAAGCGTCGGCAGTTTAAAGCGTTAAATTTACGTTGCGGTCGCGGCCGAGCTCGACTGAGTGTCTGCAATAATTGGAAAATTTTCATTTGTCCTTTTGCCCTTGCGAATGACATAAGGCCAAGCAGGCGACTGGCGACTGGCTCCGGCTCGGGCTCCGGCTCTGTTTCTGGCTCTGACTCCAGCTCCAGCTACGGCTGCCGCTCTGCCTCTCAGATCGGGCAACAAACGAGCTGTAGGCGCATTTGCCATCTGTCACTCTGGCACTCGTGATGAATGTGTTTGACGTGTAGCCCGGCGCGCCCACGAGCATTGCTAACGGTGATGTAGCCAGTTGCCAGTTGCTCGTTGGACGTTGCCCGTTGCCCGTTGCCATTGCCAGGCAACAGCCACAGCTTCAGTTTCAGCTACAGTTCACCCACCCGATGCCATTTCCATGCCCATGCCCACATCCAATCCCGTGGCTCATGATGAAACGCACCGCAGCGCCACATGACGTTGCATACTTTGCGGCGCGCTGGCTACTGTGAATGATGTGGCCCGGGCTGCTCGCTGATTTTGTGCACGTCAGACAAAACGACGCCCCTGTCAATAGTCAACGCTGAAAATATAAATGGTTTGACTTCATTTTGCGCGGCAAATTGCCCAAACAACAAATGCACAAGACAATCCAGCAACACGACGTGTATTTGGCTAATAGCAAGGGCGTGATTGCTTCTTTAACAATGTACTTTCCGCTCTGCTTCTTCCATTGCAGCTTAAGTTCGCACAACAAAGGATAGCGACACTCACGAAATACAGACATACATGCATATATAGTATATACACGTACTGAACGGCCACGCGGATATACACATTAAGGAGCGCAAACAGTGGCACCTACATCTACCAACAGCAATGCAAACAACTAGAACTCGAACTCGAGCTCGACAGCAGCAGCAACAGCAGCAGCAGCTGTTGGTGCTGCAACAGCAACATATGCCGCACATGTGGCAGCAACGTCAATGGCTGCTGCTCGCCTGCGTCCTCATGTTGACACTGTTCACGCGCACTATTCAAGGGATTACCGAGGAGCTGTCACCAGGTAAGTGTGGCC